CCTAGGTGTAGCCATCTGACTGCATTCTGGCCAATGGGCTGTGATGGGATGATGGGGCCACTTCCAGCCCATTGGCCTCCCAGGCATGATGGCCTCCTAGCATGGAAACAACTAGGATGCTTTTGCAAGTCACAGGTTTCAGATGGTGAAACCAAGAAACAGGAAGATTCTGGGAGACCAACTGCCTGCCAATCACAAGTGTTCTTTTTTGACTTTATATGAAAGACAAATACATTCTTGTGTCAAGATCCTGAGATTTGGGGGTTATTCCAGCAGTTCACTTACCCTAATACAAAAAGCTAAGCTCACTGGAGAATAAACATGAAAGTTATTTCCCCAATAACTATGCGTATCACTTCCCACCTTCCCTTTGAGTAGCTGCTGGCTTGGTGATTTTCCCAGGGTCCAGAGTGTGTGCCACTCTTAGTTATTCTAACAGTCTCATTAAGGATGTCTCCAATCCTTAATTCTGTTCCCTCACATCTGGATCAAAGTTCTTCCGTGCTGCTGCCCCAGCACTGTGGCCCTCGGGGATTGGGGTGTGCTGGCGTAGATGGGGGTTGCTTCTCCTAGACTCTTCCCTGAACTGCACCCTGGGCACTGGGGTGGGAAGGAGGCAGAGGGGAAATGCAGACATTTCTTTGCTTGCCAGGCAAGGTTGCAGTTCCCTGCCTGGTGAATGGTGTTGTGAACTGGCGCAGGGGCACCCTCCCAACCAGCTCCTCTGGCCACTGGTGATCTGTTGTGAGTTCTGACCTCAAATCTCAGCTCACTTCCTGCAGGTGGCATCTTGCCTGTCTGCCCTGCACTAAGAGAATTCCAGAAAGTCTGATGGCCCATGTCACCCTCTTTTCTCCATCAGTGCCCAGGCCTGTGGGCCCACAGAGGCTTCACATTCTGCTCCTCTTGAGAACTGGAGCTTATGGCAGGAGGTGTGGCTGGCCCCACTCTCTGCTTGGCAGAACCCCATTTGCCATCAGTCCTCAACTAGATTTTCCTTGCCTGGTAACCATGAAAAGCAAATCTTGTGTGTAAGCAACTGTCCAAGCAAGACACAAATGCCAGTCACCCTTTCTCTCAGCCTCCCTTAAACTTTACAAGTGGTTTTCCTGCATGTTCCCACAGCTTCAGGGAGGAGACCCTCACCTCTGCCCAAAGCAATTGCTCCCACCTCTCAGTACGCTTTATATACTGACCATGTCGGGGAAGCAGTGGCAGGCCACAGCCACAAGACAACGGAAGTCCCACTGGCACGAAAGCCCCCTTATGACTGTGTTTTCTCTGTGTCTTGCTCAGCGGCTGGATGTGCAGGTTCTCAGATGCTTTTGGAACCAGAGGTGTATGCTGTATCAAAGTCCAAGACCTCCCAGCTCAGAGGGGAAAAATGCTAGAAGCTGTAGGAAGCCCCAGATGGCCAGATGCCTGTGTTGGAGGGCAATTTTAGTGTGTGGCTTTGGAAGCCAGATGGCCTAGTCTCAAGCTCCACTCCTATCTAGCTGTGCTGGCTGAAAGGCTGGGGGTGGGCAACAGGGCCTGCACTTTCTGGCCCAGAACTGGCAGATCTCTCCACTAGATGGCACTCACAGTATAATGTTTCCTCACTTTAATTCTACTTTGAAAATATTGTCATTTTTTATACCGTTGAAGAGCACAAATAGAACTATGGCTGAAAATTTACATAGCTGATTCTACGCATGACCATCCTTGGAATTCTGCCACATTTCCAAGAGTTGCCAAGTTTTCCCTCCTCTTGGGAGTGCTGGCTGGAGAGTGAGGGACCATTGTGGTGTGACTGGTGCCACAGGCAAGCACACGCATAGCCTGGAAGTGACCCTGGGTTTGTCCTCCTTCCTCATATCCTGCCCTGATTTCCCGGCCTAGGCCCAGACCCCAGGCTGGGCTGTTAGGCTCCTTCCTGAGCCTGTTAGTTCACTGCTCTCAGAGCCTGCCACCCGGCAACCTCTGAACTGTAGGAGAAGCCCTTGTCCCCCCAGCTGCACTCGCTGCCCCTCACCCACCCAGCCTGAATTTCCTCTTGGTCTTTGCACATTTCCCCCAGGGGCTGTGCTTGGTGCACACTGGCATGGCCCACTTGGTGATACTTCCTGCTCCTGCCCCCAGGTAACTGTGCTCGGCATCGTGAGGATAAGTACTTATTGTGCCTTGAGCTCAGGAAGAAAATGTCCCCAGACTCCTTAAGGGCAGAAATTGACCCCTGCTCATCTCAGTGCCCCGCAAGGCTGGCTCAAAGCTGAGGTCACACTACAGGTTTGCTGAGTTGGACGTGAACGGGTTTCTTGGCCTTCCTGTGACTGCATGTTGCTGTGATTTAAGGTGGGTTCATCCAATCTTCTTATTCATTTTTAGCTCCAATATGGCATACAGCTGAAGCCTCAGTCAGAAACTGCTGTAACAGGAAGCCCACCCTTCTGGGGTCAGGCTGACCTGGGAGGGTCCAGGCTCCCCTACCTCCCAGCTGTTTGGCCTCGCAAGATTCACCTTACCCCTCTGGCCTGACACCTTCATGGGCTACGAAGGACGGGGAGCTTTGCCAGCTGCAGCCAGAACCAAGCATGAGCTTCGAGTGCAGCCTCCCAGGTCCCATCTGAGCAGGTTGATAGGAAGTACCCCAAGTCTGGAGCCCCCAGTGGGAGGGGAGCAGAGGGGACCACTCTTGGGCCTCCGGCAGCACTGGCATTGTGCTGTGCTCTGCAGATAGCTGCATCGCACTCCGCAAAGGCTGACTAGACCACTCACCGCCCACCACCCATCCTGCTCTCCCTGAGCTGCTCAGCAGCTGCATGAAGGCTGGAGGGCAGAGATGGGCAGCTCTGGGGATCTGTAGGAACCTGATGAGCAGGCAGGCTACTGTTGCTGTGCTTGAGACAAAGGAGTTCAGGAACTTTCCTTCCTGTAACAAAGTCCTTAGACGTCCCCAGCCCAGGTAGGGAAAATGCTAGAATCTGTAGGGGTCCTCAGATGGCCAGGTGCCTGTGTTAGAGGGCAAGGGAAGTGTGTAGCTAAAAGCCAGAATGTCTGGGCTCAAGCCCCAACTCCGCCACTAGCTGTGTGTCTCGCTGGGGATTCTTTCTAATCCCCATGGTCTCTTTTTGTGCAATAGGTGTGACGACATTCCCTATCTTAGAGGGATGTTGGGAGTATTGTGGGAGGCGGAATAATCATCCTCAAAGATGTCCATCTTCTAATTTCTGGAACCTTGTGACTATGTTACCTTATATGGTAAAGGGTCTTCTCCTACCGCCCCCCTATACCCCCAACACCACTGGCAAGAGTCAAATAAATTCTTGTATATAGCTCTGACCCAGATAATGAACTTGCACACAGGTGATGTCCCTTATCTGGTCTATGGGGCACACACTCAGTGCCTTTCTGAATTGATAACTGGAGTGTGTTGACCTCTACCTTCTAGTTCTGGCCTTGACTCATTACCCCTCTCCCTGGGGCCAGGGGCCGCACCCCTCCCCTAGATGGCAGGGCCCTGCCTACCTCACTACTTGCATTTCTTCTCTATCTTAACAGCTGAGATCTTTTCTCCTGGTTCCACAGTCAACCTCTGCTTTCTACTCCATACCCCGGGATCCCTTTGTTACCACCTTCTGATGTGCAGTTTTACTTCAAAGATTTTTGCATTAGATGAAAAGGAATACCTAAGTGAAACCACAGGTACTTGAATTTTGCACAGGGGCATACAGTTGGAAAGGGTGTTTCTGCACTTCAACTTCAGCCTGTGCCCCTGGGAACTCTAGTACGGATAGGACAAAGGCAGACATGCCCCTGTCCCAGGCAGGATCTGCTCATACCTGTTCCCAAAGAGCCTCTGCTCGTGCCCTGAGCCTGGGGTGCTACCTCAGTGGACAGCCAGTAGATCATTTCTCAGGATGGCTGGACTGGCTTTACTGCTTTGCGAACAGTCATAGACTTACTAGTTCACAGGGCCCCAGTGAGGCCCTAGCACTCTCAGTTCATAACCACCGCTTCTCAGGATGTCTAAATTCAGCTGACACTCTTGGTGCCTTACTCAGATCCCTCAGCACTCACTGTTCCCATCACGCTGCAGTGGTCTGCTTCCTCAAGCACCTGCAACTGTTCCTGGAGGCTGTCTCTGTCTGCAGAGTTTGGTCCATGTGAGAGGGTAGGCCGGAAATGTCGGTTACTCCCCAGAAAGCAGTTCTCAAGGACTGGGTGGTCGGAGTGGGTGGGTAGAGCCCCAGCCTCACTTCTTGGATGAGACCCCTCTGAGGCCTGTTCTGCACTGTGTCCAGAAGCCCCTGCGGGAACTGAGCCAGGGTGCCTGCAGCAGCAGTCCACTCACTAGCACGCCCTGGCTGGCTTTCCTCCCTTCTTTGACTCCCTTCCTCATGCCAGATCCTTGTCTCAGGCTCTGCTTCTGGGGGAGCCCAAGCTAAAGAAAACACTGGCTGACAGCAGAGCCAGCCCTGCCATGTACGTTGGCTTCTCTGCGAGGCACTTTTACTTAGTTTGTTAGCAACGACATTGTCAACTTGGAAGTTTAAAATATTGTTTTATAACTGCTAACGTGACAGTAGAACAGTTCTTTAGGAAAATTATTCCCCTTCCTCCTGCCACATCCCAAATCTCTGCCTTGAAATTTATAATCATCCATACTTAAATATTCTCAATCTGTGCTAGTGTTTTTCCCTGGCTTTATTTCCAGGTATTGTGTTTGGACTTTCACCCTGAGATGTTCCCATTGACTGGTTTCTTTCCTTGTATTTATCGTGAATTTAGAAATCCTCATTTCACATTACCCAAAAGCTCATTGTCCAGATAATTGATGGGACTTTCTAATTTCTTGCCCATGTGAGTATCCTGTCGATTTGGCCCACATTTCCGAGTCATGCCTGGAGACTGTGCTGTGGCTCCTGTGGGAGGAGCGTCATGAAGGTCCGCCCTTCCCAGGCCAGGGGCATGGAGACACCCCCACCAGGGCAGCAGAGCTGGAAGGTGCTCAGGCCTACCTGGACTGATCTCAAAGAGGTGCTTCCCTGGGTCCTCGGGGCCAGGAGGAAGTTCGGTCACCTGTGTCCCTTGTAGAGAAATAAATCCCTAAAAAGGAGGCAAACACAAACACAGGGAGCATGAGATGATGGGGAGGGGACTGCTGTCGTCAGGGTCCCCAGAGAGGAGAGGTTAGGACCTGGGGCCTTCCAGGCCCTGGCTGGGAAGGCTGGGCCTCAGCGAGAGGCACACACCTCCTCTCCCAGGCAGAGATGAGGCCTACTCAGGGTCCCAGGTGGATTAAGGTAGACACTGTTGTCTGCATACATGCTTGGAGGAGCTGTGCCCACAGGCAGGGGGAACTCTGGAGCAGGGAGGGAGGCTGCCACCACTGGGAGTGCCTGATCCAGTGTGCCATCTGTGGCCTTTCTGGGCCAGCAGGGTTTTAGGCTGGAGAGGGGTCAGGGAGAAGCCTGGTACTGTGGCTACTGAGGCAACATGGGGGAAAGGATCAACAGATCTGTGTGCATCCAGTCCTGCCACCTCTTGGCTAGGTGAGATTTCATTTATTTACCTATGAGGTAGGAGTCAGCTACCATGCGTACGGTACCCTGCTACAGAGAGTGCCAGGTGCCTGGGATGCATGTGTATGCATGACAAAGGGTGGCTCCACCTGCTCTCTAGTGCTGAGGTCTGGCAGCTGGGCTGAAAGATGCAGAAAAAGAGCATGGGCTGTGGGGATCCGGAGGCTGGCTTTGAGTCCCAGCCTTGCACTTCCAGGCTGTGTGATCTCAGGCAACCCGCTCAATGTCTCTGAACCTGTTTCCATGTCTGCACAATGGGACACTAAGTCACACGTCTCAGGAGGGTTGAGATGCCAGATTCCCATGTGGTAAGTCCTACTCAAGAGAATGAGGTGTTACAACCGCTGTGACTGACCCTTCCCCAACCCCCAGGTTAGGCAGGGCCTCCTTTATCCTCCTTCTGTGTCAGTGACTGTGAGCTCTGCTGAGGTCTTTATTTCATTCTGCTTGGTTTTGCTCAACTCAGACTTGGTATGGCTTGACTACACATTTTTGGTCCTCTCAATGGGAAACCCATTTTGAATTCCATTGCTGCAACCAACTGCCTGGGTTCAAATCCTGGCTCAGCTACAGAAACATCCTGGTTCAACCTGTCTGTGCCCCAGTTTCCTTATCTGTGAAACAGGAATAATAAAGTACTTTGTGGGGATGTTTGGAGCATCAAATGAATTAGTACTTGGAAGTTCTTAGAGCAGTGCCTGGTACACAGTTCTCACTGTGTCAGTGTTTGCTCAATAAATGCCTGCTATTATTGTATGTCAGGGCTCCACACCTAGTGGGTCACCGTATCCCTGTGTCTGCATTTACCCAGGTGAGGGGCAAAGTCACCTGCTGCATCCAGGTCGCCTCCTGCCCCAACCCCCATGTGAACTCACAGAGTACACCCCCCCAGTATTTTCCAGGCAAATCCTGGCTTTCACAGGGTGATGGGAACCTCCCACCTGCTGCTAGAATCTTGTGCCGCAAGGACACATGGAAATGCCTCTTCTCATTTAAGCAATGTTAATGCGGAAAGGCAGAACGTCATCCTTACCCGCAGATGCTTGCTTTAGAGGGATTACAGCAATAAACCAGAGAACCAGCTGGTAATCTTTGTAACTGAATTAACGGTTACTTTCTTGCTAGAGAACTTGGAGCTACTGGAAATAAATTAGGATCTCAGCCCCAGGATGGAGAAATGTGCTCGTTAAAGGGCATGGGTGAGATCCATCACTAGCTAATGGGATGCTTCTCGGGCGTTTGCTGTTTCAGTAACAGAGTCCCTGTGTCATTCTGGATACTTTGCTGTTTTTTTTCTGTGTCCTAAAATCTGTCATCCATACAAGGAGAGTAACAATACTGACATTGACATTGCTTTCTACTACAGCTAAATGGAAATGCAGTAATAGCTTCTGATTATGAAGACTGTACTATATTCCTGGCTCTTTGCCTAAGTTATTGGATTTAATGTAGAGGCCCCAGGGGGTAGGTACTACCATTCCTGTCTTCCCAGACAAGCAGACGGAGGTCAGCAAGGTGATGCAACCAGCCCTGTGCCCACCGCCCACAAGGGTGTGCTGGAGACATTGGCTCAGGTGTGCCCAATGCTGGAGCCGCAGGCTTTACCCTTTGCTTCCCTACCTTTATCATGGCAGCCAGCAACTGACTTTGTTTACAAGAAGCCACAGTGGAGAGCCAGGCTCTGACTGTGGGATCCACTGGTCACTTCTCAGGGGAATCTCAATGTGCCCCCCACCACTGCAGGGGCCCTAGCACTGTCCCTCGGCTGCCCAGATTCCTCTGCCTCCCACAGGTCAAGAATGTGGCTCCGGGACTGGGTGGGGGGTGGGGGCCTGGGGAGCAGAGGCTGTCTGCTCTCCAGGCCCTGGTATGACGTTTGCTAAGACTGTGATGAAAAGACGTGAATGGAGTCAGAATATAGCATTAGCTGAGACACTCAGGGTAGATCTCAACATTGAACATGCTTTGGAGTCACCCCAGGGCTTGTTAAAACACGGAGAGCCTGGTGTTTTGGTGGTGTCTAATAATGGGGTCTCTGAAAACTATAAAGTACCCTGATTTGGAGTGTTTGCTAACTTCAGTGATATAAATACCCTCCCCCTCCATGGCCCATTTTATGACATCATTGCATGTGGAGCTGAGAAGAGATGCACCATAGTGTTTGCACCACATGGATGCAATGGATGTCAGTAACCTCCAGAGCTTAAGACATAGTACATGAAGTCATAGTATATTAAGTTAGGAAATGATATATTTTGAGTACCTTCTAACCTTTGTGTTTACTATAACTCATTTATTGGTAGTTTTTTGTGATTTAATTTTTTGTTGTTGTTGTTTTGTTTGTTTTGTTTTGCTTTTTTGGGTATTGCTCTGTAGCCCAGGCTGGAGTGCAGTGTTGCGATCATGGCTCACTGCAGCCTCGACCTGCTGGGCTCCAGTGATTCTCCTACCTCAACCTCTAATTGGGGCCATAGGTGTATGCCACCATGCCCAGCTACTTTTTGCTATTTTTTAATTTTCAGTAGAAACGGGTTCTCCCTATCTTGCCCATGCTGGTCTCGAACTCTGGGCTCAGGCAATCTCCTTGCCTCGGCCTCCCAAAGTGTTGGGATTACAGGCGTGAGTCACACCACCCAGCCTGATTTAATTTCTAATAGTGTAAGTGTTCAATCAGAATAGTGCTGGACCCCACTCTCGAGTTTCTGACCCTATAGGTCTGGGGAAAGTAGGACCATTTGCATTTCTAACCATTTTTCTGATGCTGCGAGCCCTGGGGAATACACTTTGAGAACCACTAGTCTAGGGACTCTAAGGGAAGGTGGCCAGAGGATGATGCCTTTTTCATGAACTCACTCAGCACCTTGGTTTCCTCACCTGGAAAATGAGGACAATAATAGTATCTGCTTCATGAGGCTGTTGTGAGGATTAAATGATTCGATATCTGGCCCCAGTGGCCTTTGAGAGCCTGGTTTTTGCCAAGATTCTGTGCTTTAGACGCATGTAGGTTACAAGAACCAGCACCTGCTTCTAGCACCACAGACAGTGCCCTCAACTATGAGGGTCCTGGGAATTCTTTGAGGAGCACAAAGTGAGTGTCAGCACTTTGCCAGCTGGCCTTCCTACTATAGTGCCAGGTCAGGGCTTAACTGTTTGTATCTGGGAAGGAACCAGGCACACAGTTTGCACCTAGAACTGCACAGTTTGCAGACAGGCACCTGGCTACAGAAACAGTGTGCAAACTCCAGGCACATGATAGATTTCCACAAATGTTGGGCCCTTTCCCCCTTCCCCATGTGTCCGAGCTCATGTTAATTTGCTCTCTTAGGGCATTGCTCAGCCTATGTATCTAAGTTCCTCCTGAGAGGCTGCAGCTGACTTAATGCATCTCTAGCTCCATACAAACGCAGCCCATTGGTGTAAGTAGCTAAGGGACAAAGTATGTGCCATTCTGTCTGCATCTAGGAGGGCTCAGTGTTTGCAAGTTTTAGACATTGCAAAATTGCTTTCAAAAAGTCTTTAGCAAATTATGTTCCATCAAAAGTGTATGAGAATGCCCATTTCTGTATGCTCTTCCCATTGCATAGTCATTAAGTACTGACTGTCCTTTTAAATGGAATCTTATGATATATTTATTGACCATTTGTATTTCTTCTATTAATTCCTTGTTAACATCCCTTACCCACTTTGCTATTGGGTTGTCTTTTATTTTAACAATATATTTTATTTAACATATTTATCTGTATTGGATAACCCAATATGTCAAAAAAATCAGCATTTCAACAAGTAATCAATATAAAATTGTTAGTGAAATATTTCACATCTTTTATAGTAAATCTTTGGAATCTACTTACAGCATATCAGATTTACATTCCAAGGTTTTATCAAATATATGTGATCTATATTTCCATCTTATCAAATTTGAAGTAGATTCTTGTACCAAAATTGTTTCAGATATACTGTAGTAGGTAGAATAATGGCTCCCCAAAAGATACGCTTGTCCTAATCTCTGGAACATGTGAATATGTTATATCACATGACAAGCATTTAATTAAGGTTGCAGATAGAATTAAGGTTGCTAACCATCTGACCTTAAATCTAGTAGTATTAGAACTCCAACTTAATTATTTTATTTCAAAATTGTCTGACTATTCTAGGCCCTTTAAATTTGTATATGAATTTTAGAATCAGTTGGTCAATTTCTATTAATAGAAAAATGCCTACTGGGATTGTGATTGGGATTGCATAGATAAATTTGGGGAGAATTGACATCCTAACAATAATAAGTCTTCTGACCAATGAACACAGTATAACTCCTCATTTATTTAGAGCTTTCATTTTCCCCAACAATAATAACTCATTTTTTAGTTCTAGTACCTTTTTGCAGGCTTCATCAGATTTTTGACATAAACAATTATGTTGGGTATAGATACAGTTTTACTTCTTCCTTTCCAATCTGAACAACTTTCATTTCTTTTTCTTGCCTTATTATACCAGGCAGGACTCTATGAAAGTGTTTTATGGAAG